CCTCTCAAAGGATTCTCTGAATTTTTCAAGATGACGAATGTCAATTCAAGTTTTTTTTATCGGAAATTTGAATATTATCACGCTTTTCTCAAACCCTTAGCCTCCTAACCCCCGCAACTTATTATTTTTGTAGAAAAAGATGTGATTAATTACAGATTAGCGTGAATTGATGATATCAGCAAGGAACAAAGGGATGTATATATATTTATTCTAAATTCAAATGAGCATTAATCAATAAGTTTTTGAGTTAATTTTCTTTTATTTTTGGGCAGCTTTTTAATCTGAAAATTATCACTGGTCAAAAAGTTGAGATCGTTTGAAAAATATACGTAAGGATTATAAAGATAGAAGTTGGACACTGTGATGGTAGAGTATAACTCCATTATGGATAAAACTTTTATTTTGAATAAAGTCACACAGTGTAGTGTTATACAGTAATATTTAATGATGACCGCGTTTCAAGCATAATTTATTGCTGCTCATAATCATATCAGTCAGGGTACTCACATGCCTTTCGTGCTTCGTGTATATACCATGGGTAAAAAGTGACTAGACATATGAATAAAATTAACACAAGATATGCGTGAAACAGAGAGGAAGATAAAGTACATTCGGAAACAATATTAGTGTCATCAATAAATACAATATGCTGAGAATTAAGACGAGTTTGATTAGTCAATATAATGGGACATAAGAAATAACTTGTTAGAATGTTTAAAATGTGAATTGAAATACACTTTAACCAACACTCTACTACTAACAGTTCACAAGCACTGTGATGGCGAGCAGTCACTTAGTGGCATGCTGGACACATTGCAAGCTTGGCTGGTAGAAATCAGTCTCCATCGATGATAGGACACTAGAAACATTACACTTGTTACTGACTAGTGTTCAATCAGAAATATCCCATGCAGTCTTATAGGAGGCTCAATATCTCAGTGATAACGTCTCTGACTGCAGCACTGGTTGAAGCGGGTTAAAATCTCAGAAGGGATATGTGTTCCTCTGAGGTTGCAGATAAACATTGCTGATGGGAGCCAAGTAACACGAAACTTAGGTCTAGGCAAGGCCTCCTTTCAATTGCCTCCCACCATCTAGTACATTTTAACATTATTTATTATCCTCTGATTTGACTGGTAATAATATCTTCTGGTATTTGCATTGAGTAACTCCTTTTGCATGTGTTGAATGTAGACTAGATGAACCAGTCAGGATTCAGTAGTCAATCTCTCTCTATCTCTCCAGGTACCTATATCGATTTTGAGAGTTTTGATTCTGTCCCACCCACATTATTGTGTGGTTGTGTGTTAATGCATGCAGCGCGATTGCTGAGTTTTTTTCCCAAATTTCTTATTCTCGTGATTTAGACAATTATAAACTTAGTTATATTCTTATGTTCCGACAATCTGACTACCCCCGACCTACTAGTGAGTGGTGTCCCAGTGGACCACATAGTTAACGTCATTGTCGATAGGCACTTGACTTCGTGCAATAAATTTGCTAAAAGGATTTTGTCTGACTTGGAGCATCCGCTTTACCCTCAACTTTCACCTTGCATCTCCTCAGGTAGAACAAGGAGTATCTTCAGAAAACTGTATGCTCGCACGTCTAAGTATAAGAATTCTATGATACCATAATTGGCACGTATTTTATGTGATGAAAATAGTGTCAGGAAAGAATTAACTAACCTTTTTCATCTAGTAAATAAACAATTTCCCCCATCCATCCTTATATACTTTCAAGTTTTACTTTTATTATTTCTATTATATTTATGGTCCTGTTACTTCTCTGTTTTACTCTCATAATTGCAAACACCAACTTATCTCCATGACGGCTGTAATCTTTGTTTTTCCCTTCACCATATCATGTAGAAAGAACATTATATTCAATATTTTTAAACATGTTAGGATTTCTATACCACATTGACAATACTGTGTGGCACAAGCCAACGGCGATTTTCACTTGTATTATTATTATTATTACCCTAGCTGTTATCATTATTATTGTTATTTCCATTTTATATGCTGCATGTTTTTGACACTACCTCTATTGTAAGTGTGGAGAATTTTCTGCGTGATTAATTTTATTTATAATCTGAGGAAATTAGATGCAATATTGTGATTAGTGCTGAAAATTCCATTCCGTATCACAAATACTGTTTTTGGAATAAAGTAAATCATTATTATTATTAGTAGTATGACCAATGTAGTAGACCTCACTTACTGTCATTGCAAGGTATTTTGTAAATTATATTATTTTGTCTAATTGGGTCAACGTACAGGGTCTTTTAACCTACAGAACTTGTCTTCCTTGAGCGAGTTTGTGCGTTTAAATGCCACCACCGTGTTTCCTGTTGGGTCTGAGATGTCTCCTCCTTATATGGTGAAACTGTAGATGCCTTATATTATTTGTACTCAGTCATAGTAATAATATTTCCAATGTTAACGTCATCGGGGATCATTGAAAATCAAGTGCACCGGGTATTTGTCTTGTTCCTAATTGAGAAATCATCATCATCAGCATGCACGATTAACCTCTCAGGGGATTAAATTCAGGAGCTTCATGCAACAAGGTCAGCTCATTGCCTATTCATTGGGGCTTACTGTTGAAGACAGAGTGTTCTAGACTAGGATGAAACAAATTTATAGGAAAGCTTTGGTTTTTATTTATTCTGCAACTGATATCTGTTATTGACGAAAGCTGTTTCAAAAGGATTTAAAATCCTTACAAAACCCAAAGTGTGAATAATGACAGTGAGAGTAAAAGAGAAATAGAAAAGTTTACATCGTTCTGATTTTCCATTTATTGTTAAGTAACCAACCAACTGGTCAGTGTTATTCGAAATGAAGCCTAAGCGAACATATTCTCTGTGTTCAAGTGTTCATTTGCAGGGGTTTGATTGGGAAGTCGTGACCAGTGGGGTACAATAGGTTGGGCGCGAGGACAAATAGTCGCCGATGGCATTCGTTAGTGGTCTCACCATATCATGAATTAGCAGAAGATAGGATTCACGGTCTAGTCTTTGGATCTAATCCTAGTTAATTATTGGTCTACGTACTACCTCGGATTGTGAACAGAAGGTCCTGGGTTTGAAACTCACTGTGTACCTACTGTGAAGAGTCCTAAACTAGGATGAAATAGCTGTCCAATACTCACAGCTGGTTTCCTAATGGTCCTCTAACCGATGTCAGTTCATGATGAAATCCTGAAACATTCTCTAGGTATTAAGCATAACTGCGTCATCACTAGTTATGGTAATACACATGTGATGCCATGGATAACATCTAAGTTTGGTAGCCGAAGTAGTAGAGAGTCAAACTAGTAATTCATGACCCTGTGATTCAAATTCTAACACAAACTAGAATTTCACTTCATCGGTTGGTCATTGTCACGCAAAAGACTTCGTGAAGACAGAGAGAGAGAGAGAGAAAATGGGTGTGCGTTGGACTGACAACAGCCCTCCAAAACATTTCAGCTTCACGGATAATTTATGTCTAAGGTCACAAAAATTGAAAATATATGGGCAAAAACCAGCAGGTTGGCAGAAGAAGCTGGCGGTGAAGGACGGACTTCATAGAAACATAGCTAAGAGAAAGGTGGCGAGGATACTAAAAAAAAACAACTGCATCAAGTATCAGTCACTATCAACAGGAGAAATCTGAAGGAAGTCATCTCAGTCGTATTAATGGACAGCATTGTATTAGTGACAGAAGGCACAAATCAGGATGTCAAAGCTGACAAGGATAGAAACAGCAAGATAGACCATTCGCCTGCAAATCTACTGCAGTTGGAATAAAGGATAAAATCCGAATCTTCAACACTAGTGCAGAATCAGCGCTTCTACGTGGTTTCATGCGCTACATGGAAAGCGCTTTCTAACAGCTGACTGCAGAGCTTTCATCAACACCTTCTTTCTGCCCGTGACGAATATCAGTTGGCTGGGTAAAAATTATTAGTGGCGAGAAACTCTGCCAACAAGCAAAATAAGAAATGATTTCTTCAACAAATATGCAGAAAGAGATGGAGACAAAACACAATTCTAGTAATGTGGATATCTTTGTTTCCTTTCATGAGGGGATAATAGTTGGTGAAGGTAGGTGATGTGGAATGAAACAGCCTTCCAATGCTTCATGATTATCAGTGATTCTTTAAAAGATATCAGCTCCCCCCACAATCCTCACTTGAACCCAATCAAATCCATGTAAAGCTAAATTTACCATTGATATTACTAAACACATAACGGATTCTCTCTATATAATTCAACCATGTAGCAGTATTTCTCATGCACGAAGATGTGATAATGAAGCTAAAAATGATACGCTTTGAAACATTCTAGGGCTTTTTGTTAATTTGCTTTCCGAATGCAGCATAGACCTTTAGTCTGTGAACTTTGAATTTGCAGTAGCACGAGGTTTTATTTGTACTGGGTAGGTTTTTCTGTCTTCACAAGCAACCTTCCCTCCAACCACGCATGTGGTTGGAAATCATTCTACTGTCTAACCACCGACTCTCATCGACGCACTGAATTCGGGTCAAGTAAAAAATTGGGTGTGCGTCGGTTGCACAGTGGTAGATTGCTCGCCGAATATGCAGGTGGTTCGATGTTCAATCCCCGGCCACAGACGCACTCCTTTACTTCGTTAAGCCAGTAGTAAGACTGATAAAGAAGGAAGGTTAGGCATGAGGCTGGCTAGCAACCTTATCAAGTAAAAATAATCACCACTGCTACAGCCTCTAGTTTGAAGGCGCCCTATGTTCCACTGGGAGCGTGGGACAACTTGCTGGTGACACCACGCACGAAGTATGCCCCCCAGTGCATAAGATCGTGTCAAGAGGAAATGGAAAGTTGTAGGCAGTCACAGGGCTAGCTGAAGTGGTGCTGATGGCCCGGATGCAGTCAATATGTACTGCCGAAGCCTTAAATACCACTCAAAACCCAAGGAAAGAATAATGCTACTAATGAAATATTAGTGAATAATGCTTAGTAAATATTTACTCACCAATTCCAAGTTCTTCTTGCCCCACTACGTCTCCTACATCGTCCTCCTGTTGTTGACTCTTCTTTGACAATGATTTATATTCAGAAGGAGAATACTGATTACTGAGATTACGAATTTTACGTAAATCTTTGGAATTGCCCGGTTGAACTGGTGTTGACCATTTTTCAGTTTCAGGCATTTTTTTAACTATCATACTATTATCATAATTTAAACGCGTATTCGTATCTTGACTTCTTTTCTTCAATGGATTTTGATAATAAATTAAATTAACAAGGAATGGATTGAAATAATTCAATTCTTCTTCTTCTTCTTCACCATCTCTTCCATCTTGTACCTTTCCGTCATCATTGACATCGTTTTCATTGTTCAGCAGTGAAATTACATAGTCATTTTGTTTATTCATAGCATTTGCATCATCTTTCAGATTATCAACATTCGTTGTCAATGGATACGGGGATAAGTCTGTTTGAATTGTTGGTGGATAGGAAGTCTGTAGGCGGATTAATGGAGCGTTGTCTTCATCAACATCATCGTTGTCACCTTGATTGTTTTCAATTTCTTCAAACAAATTATTTTCATAATTGTCTATTGGCTTAGGTACTAGATAATTCATCAAGGTGTAATGTTGTTCACTTCGAGAATGACCTGGAAGACAAATGTATACAAATGCATATATATATATATATATATATATATATATAATCACGTGGTGATAGTGTGGTGAGATCTGTCTGCGATTCGAAATTGTAGACAACAATTTATGACTACGTTCATGTCCCTAGTCAGGGTCATGAGAAATAACATAACACAATAACACAGCCTACCCTTGAGAAAATCACGAGCCAGTTACAGAGGAGTTCACGTGTGGAAATATGATTCGTAGAAATATGGCTTGGCTTTCTGAGAAACGGCCACAAGAAAGATAACAACATGAACTTCAGAGATAAAACAACCAATCAGAAGAGGTTGCTTCTCCGCTAAAAATAATGTACATGAAAATCTATCAATAACTCTTGAGTTTCTCAATAAACAATCTATTGATTCGTCCTCATCTTCTGTCGTTACAATAGTGGTAAACTAGTGAGTAATGGTTCAAGTGTTGGTTTGGAAGGATTTCGGTGGTTACAGGATTTCATCATGAACTGACATTAGTTAGAGAACCACTGGAAAACCTAGGAGTGCTGGACAGATATTTCGTCCTAGTTTGAGACTCTTCAGCAGTATGCACCAACACCACAGGGTTCGAACCCAGGACCTTCTGGTTACAAGGCGAGCTCATATGCCATTTAGCCACTGAGACCCGATCCAATGGCCAATGAATTATAACTTCTGCAAATTCAGGAAATAACGTGAACCCTAGTCAATGTCTTTGGCGAGTACTTGTCCTCACACCCAACCTGCTGCACCCTGCTGGTCACGACTTCTCACCAGAACCTCAGGTGAATAGGGCAAGTCGCTAGTGGGCATCTCATTGATATTCAGGTGTTGGTTTGTAATGATTTGGTTGGTTTACAGGACTTTATCATGAGCTGACATTAGTTAGAGAAGTTAGTTAATTAGTGAGAAGTCGTGACCAGCAGAGCGCAGCAGGTTGGGTGTGAGGAGGAATACTCGCCGAAGACATTGAATAGGGTTCACGTTATTTCGTGAATTGACAGAAGTTAGAATTCATGGGCTAGCCATTGGATCAGGTCCCAGTGACTTAATGGTATACGAGCTCGCCTTGTAAACAGAAGGTCATGGGTTGGAACCCTGTGGCGTTGGTGCATACTGCTGGAGAATCTCAAATTAGGATGAAATAGCTGTCCAGTACTCCTAGTGTGTATCTTCTTCAGAGATTATTAAAACAAATCCTATTCGGGATTACATAGTAATGAAATCCGATATACTGGCGACAACCGGAAAGTTTGTGGGACTTCAAGTGAACATGGAGAAGACAGATATGATGTAAATACCATCAATAACAGCCCGCAATCACTATCAGCAGAAAAGCTCTGAAGGGGGTCAATTGTTTCGCTCATCTAGGCAGCAACGTTCCATCTGCAGGCAGCACGGTTTAGGGAGTTATATACAACCGGGATCATAAAAGCAAGACAGACCTTCAATAGTATGAAATCTGTGTGTAAAAATCTGCTCTACTTAGCATGAAATGTAATGTCAAACCACTGCCTTGGTATGGTTTAAAGGTATGACGCACGCGTCATTAAAAGCACTGCCATCAAGCTTGAGTCTTTTATCGGCAGCTGCCATAGTTACGTACTGAAGATCAGGTGGCCAGATGGGATAAGTATTAAGGAAGTCTGGCAACAAGGCTACCAAGATCCTGCTGTTCCACGAATAGGTTGAAGTAAACTGAGATGAATCGGCTACACACACTGAGGAGATCACTGAGTGACACTAGGCACCAGGCAAATCCTAATTTCCTTCCATTCGAGAAAAGGTAGAATCAATTCACAAGACACAGGTCAGCGAAAAAATGTTTCTTCAAAGCGTTTTAAAAGTTCACAGATGTGTCTATAAATGTCAACAATTCACATCAGTTGATTATGAAACAGCAATAGAGATATCTTTCAAAGTTTATACATGAGGTGAGGTAGAATTATTCGAAGAGTTTCCGGTTGCATCCTTTTTCCACGGTGGAAGGTCTTGCTATACACAAAAGAAACTGTGAATTGTGTGTACTTCAGCAGTTTGTGTAATTCCACTGACTAAAATGGAATCGGCCTGTACATTAATTCTGTATGTGATCCATATTCATTCAGTTTTTCACTCCATTTTATTTCTCCCCTTCAAGTTCTTAACTTTAAAGTATACTTCATAAATTTTCTGGTTTCCCTAGTAATATGAATATTAATCACGTTTCTGGGGGCTTAAAATCTTAACAGTAGCCACTTTGGAGCAATATTCAACATTTAATATTGTTATATTAGGTAATTTATCCTTTATTTTCCTAATAGAGAGCTTCACACATTTTCTTACCGAATGATGTGTGTAACTGTTATAAGAAAAATACTTGTGCACTGTAGTGGTAGAGTATAGTTCCAACATCGAGAAAATTTATTTTGATGAAGTCTCACATTGTTATGCAGTAGTATTTGCTGATGATCATATTTCGTGCGCAATTTATTACTGCTCATAAGCATATCAAGTTACTATTCACACAACTTTCTGACTTTGTTTATATAATGGCATTATTTTTCATCGCTTGATTTATTGGTAGTAGTAATTTCTATATTTCCAGTTTGAGTGATGAGTCATTCTTCTTGAACATTTTGAATGCAGACTCAATGAAAAAAAAATCCAGTAATCAACCACCTCTCTGTGCACCACCTCCCTATATAACTTTATAGAATTTTAACCCTTTCCCACCCTGTTGTGTGGTTGTAAGTGTCAATACATGCAGTGCAATCGCTGAGCTTTTTCTAAATTACTTATCTTCGCGGGTGAGATCAATCATTCTAACATTAGCTTAATTCTTGTCTTCCGACAATCTGAATACTTCTGATCTACTATTTTGACCTATGTAGTTGACCTCACTCACAGTCATTGGAAGGTATTTTGTAAATTATATTATTTTGTTTAATTGGGTCCACTGGGTACTTCATCCCACAGAGCTTGTCTCTAAGTGAGTTTCTTAGTTTGAATGCCATTCTAATTCCTGCTTTATTTATAAACATACGTAGGGTCTCAGATGTCCCCTCTTTATATGGTATAAATGTGGATGACTTATATTCTCTCTTATTTATGTTATCACTACTAGTTTCACAATTATTTTTATTTTGCTTTTGACCTTTTTCGATATTCCTAATGAATTTTATAGGATTGTTATTCAACACCAACCAGCCATTCTTCTATCTGTTTGACTTCATCATCTAGGTCTTTTCTTGTACTACTTAGTGCCTTTACAGACAACGAATGAGATGAATTAAAGTCTAAATATCCAATATTAGAATGCGTTGGTTTTCTGTAAACACTGGTGTGCAGTTTACCTACTTCTATTCATTTTTATTTTACAATCTAACATCACTGCTAATTCTCCTTGTTCATTTTCCGATTCAAATGTGAATTTTATTCCCTCTACTAGTGAATTTATGTGTGTGTGTGTCAAGAAGCTAGAGAGAGGTATGTTCTGTTTTTAACACTGACCATTACTGGTATTCTCCTGACCTTCAGGGACGCTTTATATAACTGTTAGAGCTTTGAAGCGATATTACAGAGGGAATATTATTTCGCTGACCTATGTTTTCTCAAGTTATACCATACTAGTACTTCTGACAGAATAAAGAAACACAGAATACTCACAACAAATTACGTGACTGGCTTGATACTAAGAGGAGCGGTCAGAAAAACAAACAAACGAAATAGCATCGATATATCAGTTAATAACCGATACAAATGAGTAATTGGATACTATTTGCATCAACTGATACTTCTTGCTAATCAAATCGAAATAATCGAAATACCAGATCGCTATTTCCACCTATTTCCAGTTCACTCAACTATCCAGACATGACTTGGATATTTCCGGCAGACTCGCTGCTCTCTGAGCCGACCTCAAGTCGGATATATAGCCGAAGAACTTTTCCCAAAAATGAGAGGAATAGCTATTTTGTGTATTGAAGCCATCATGATCTTGCTAGCAAGAACTACTAGTTGATCTAAATGGTTTCCAAAACTACTCATATCAGTCTGTTAGTAGTATATAACACCACGTTATATTATAAAGGAAAATAAAAGAATTATATTGGTCATAATGACAGTATTTCTTATTGTGCTTACCAATTTCAGCTTGATTTGTCATTGAAACCGCCAAGAATAGAATTAAAGTGGATTGAAACAAGAGTGTCATTGTTCAGTTGAATAATTTTTTGTGTGTTCTGTAAAATATGAACAAAAAAGAGAAGGAAAAATTATTTTGATTGTTGCTATTATTACACATAATAGGTGTAACATGACACGGTTAGACTTTATACATCCTGCAGATGTGAACGCCCTACCAATGACTTTAGAATACTCAGTCAGAGTAATTCTGTGAAACGAGGTAAATAACATAGACAAAATTCATGGAAAAAGGTGTTGAGTGTAGTGCAGGAATCTTAAACAAGATAAGTAGCTATTAGATATATAACACGGCGAAACAGTATTATTTACTGGATGACGTTGCCAATGAGGTCGCTAATATCTCTGGTTGTGGCAGATGTTTTCATGAATAGGTAGGAAAAACATAGCGATTGCAGCGTTCAGCTCCAGCCGACATCAAAGTATGTTGGAGGTATGTTGATGACACATTCACTTTACTTAGAACACAGGATATAGGTAGATTTTTCGAACGCATTAACTCAAAGGTGAAGGCAATTCAATCCACTTGTGATTTGGAAAGTCAGGAAAGGGAGCTTCTAAAGTTAGATTGCAACGTAAAAGGGAAAGAAGATGGGAAGTTAAACACTCTAGTGTGTTTACAGGAAACCCACTGACACATTCAAACAGATATTTGGATTTCTGATCACCTCATCCTATGTCAGCGAAAATAGGATCGGTGAAATGACTAAGTGATGGAGCAGAAAATCTAAGTAGTACCAAGGAAAATATAAGACAGGAAGTGATACATATAAGAGAGGCCTTGGAACTTAATAATTACCCTGATGAATTAGTCAAGAAAGTATATAGGGAAATGTAAAAATAAAATAAGTGATGATAGTAGTAGTAGTGATAATAATACTATTATTGATGACATGCATGTCAAATATGCGCAAGATAACACCAATAATAAGGAATCTAAATCATCAGTAGTAATTCCATACAAGGAAGGAACCTTGGAGACCTTACGCAGAATTCTTTACAAGGCAGGAATAAAAGTGGCTGGCATTCAAACTCACAAACTCAATTGGAAACAAGTTTTGTCGGCTGAATGGTGGATCCTGTGGAGCCTTTAAAACAAAACAATTTAGTTTATCTAATACCCTGTCTGCAATGACTGACTGGTCAAATACATAGGTCAAACTAGTAGAACAGGGGTACTCAGACTAGCCGAGCATAAAAACCTAGCAGTAAAATCTAGATTGGTTGACCCGAATAAGATAAGAAATCTAGAGAATAGTTCAGCTATATCAATCGCCACATGCAATTACACACAACCATAGAATAGGATGGGATAATATGACAGTTTTAAAGTCTAATGTCACAGGGTGGAGGGAGAGATTGATAACGGAAGCTTCACTCATTGAATCAACCGCAAATACGTGTAATAAGAATGACTCAACACCTGTCACAGATATCTGGAAAATTCTACTATCCCTACGATGACAAACAGCAGAGATCGATTATTGCAGATATGATTATGAACAGCAAAAAATTTTGTTCAAAACTGTCATCCAGTATAATAATACTGTCTCATTCACTGTGTGATACATCTAATAAACAAACTAATATGAAATTACTTACTACCATAGTGCTGAAGCTTTACACATATATTAAGATAAGAAGCTAGTTTTACGTTAGCGTAGGGTAAGATGAAGAATAGTTTTAGGCCTGAGATTGGTTCAGTTAACTTGATTACACAGATCTGAGGGTTGGTTAGGGAGAAATTAAGTTTATATTTAAATTAGTGGCCCAAATTTCGGCTTTTTGATCAGTGACTGTACGCAAAGTTATTGTTCAGTGGACTAATTTCTGGATGCCTAAAGTTGGACATAATAGCACCTTCTAACTATCTAGCTGATGGTGGACAACTGCATCCTTCTGTGAATGACTCATCAATTTTATATACCTGGGTCTCAGTTAGTTTATGGGGATTTTCGCATCAAACAATATTAGCATCAATTGTCAACAGTGGCAGTTTGCAGGTGTACCAGTTCTCGACACACCATAAAGAAGATGCCTGACAAACGTACGAAGAATGTTTCTTGCGAAAGCCATGTAGGAGAAGGAATGTTTGCCACCTTTAGATGTAACTTTAGAATTACGGCAGGTTCCTTGTTAACACTCTTTCATGTCATATCTCTGTTTTGATTTTAGTTAATAATGATGTCAGTTATAGCCTTTGAACAGCTTTAGATGAGCATAGGCAGAAATAGGAGTTAGAACTTCCTCAGCTAGACGGACCAAAGAGAAAAGAGAAATACAGCGTCTATTAAAGGAACTGGGTGTGTTGAAACTCAGGAACAGTGTTAATCAAGTTTCTTCGTGTAAAGATGACGAGCACTTGCAGGACCCTGTCAGGCCGTATATTATGGTGAAGACTGCTTATGCCTCCAAAGGACTTGATATGTTTGACAACGCGACAGATGCAGCAGTGTCACCCCTCATTGTTGGCCTAGAGCTGCCAAGGAGGGAACTGTGTTCGTTTGATGGACAGCCGGTCAACCAATGGGAGTTTATTGGACAGTTTGCGCTTTATGTGGTCTCTAAGTTAAAAGGATGATGGGTATCGCACTTTATATCTGTTGCACTATTGTAAAGGCAGAGCTGGAGAGGCTATCAAAGAGTGCATCATACTCCCACTTTTGTTGAGTTATCGAAAAGCACTTCATGTATTGACTAAGATTTCCGGAAGAACACGTAAAGTGAGTAAATCATTGCTTCAGAAGTTTATAAAATACCCAAAGATAAAAATTGTGATTCCGAAGTCATGTCAAGAATCGCTGAAATATTGATGAGTAATCGTCTTTTGTATGCGTTTGAACGTTCCTCTATTGCGTATGTTTCAGCGAAGATTGGCGGCTTACAACGGAACGTAAAAATCAGTTTCCTGCTTTCAAACAATAGCTAAATAAATTTACTCGCCACAGCCACAATATTAGACCACTCTGATTTGTCTAGAGAGAATTACTGATCGATTTGAGTGATTTCGAAAAACGCAAACTCTGAGCTGACACCTTTTTCATCGGTGAACAGCAAAAAATCTTTGGAATCACCTGAGAAATTGTAGCGGAAAATTGCATTAAGGGCAAAATACAACTCAAAAATCATTCGAAATAATATTTTACATTCTGTTCATCACATATTCAAATTAGCAATACAAGCAAAAGAACCCGAGGTACAGGATAAAATGACATCGGGGTTTCAGTGGCCCAATGACCTACGAGCTCACCTTGTAACCAGAAGGTCCCGGGTTCGAACCATAGTGGGTGCCTACTGTGAAGAGTCCCAAAATAGCCGGCTATTCAGTGCTCCTAGGTTTTCCAGTGGTTCTCTAACTGATGTCAGCTCATGATGAAATCCTCAATGCAATCAAAATGACATCAATTTATTTCAAATCACCAAATATACCCATTGAGTCCTGAAGAAAGTAAAAGGCAGTTCAGAGAAGAAGATTTTCTTTATCAACGAAATCCTCTTGAGACTGTGTGCAGTCGTATTCATATTCACTAAAAACACGTATAATAGTCCATTACTGAGTAATAGAGGGGTGATATAATTGACATAAGTGCCCAGAAGTGGCTTTAAAATTGAGAATAAATGTCATAAATTACGTATTACTTAGTGCCACGAAGGAGAAAAGGCTTAGGATTTTGATGATATAAAACTTATTATTGAGTGAAAATATAGGTATTTGAGTGTCAATTTAACCAATGTGAAGAGGGTGTGAAAATATGCAAAAGGAGCACATGAGAGTGATAATAGTGAATTAATTATTAAAGCAAAACCAAGCTAATCATAAAAAATAAAAAAATAAAAATAACAGGGGACAATAAACGAAGAGGTTAAGACCAAGGTAGAATAAAAGACAGGACAAAGCTCTGTGTACAGAGTTTGAGGTTTTATTGATGAATTGCCAGTGCCTCCGCCATAGACAAAAGACCAGAAACCTAACACACTTTGTGACATTCGGTTTCATTTTATAAACAGTGTTGAAAGACAACCCTGCTGGAGCTGCATGGCTTGAATTCACCAGTCACTCGACAATCGAGCTGGTAATTGTCTTGCATCATCCCCTTTGCTAACCATGCCGGATAATGTTCAGAGATGTGTTTCGAAAGTGTGCACTTTATACGGTCAATAAATCTGTTTGGGACTCGTCATCTGGATGTACCTGCATTTCTCACTGAGTGATGATGTTCCCACCGAGGCTCGGACCCAGTACCCGTAGTTTGAAACGCCAAAGCGTTATCCACTAGACCACTTGGGCCACGAGAGCCACTTCTTGTGCAGCGGGTCATCGTCGAAGCATCTGCACAAGAAGCCGACATGTCAACCTGAGACCGAGCACTTCGGTCCAATCAATCGACGGGAAAATCAAAAATTCAATTCAATACATTTTAATGGCCTAAAGCGACAGTTTATTCTTCACACATCTATTGATCACCTGTCATCTGGGAAAATATTGATCCGTAGCCTAGCTAAAAACAGCTTTTTAGTGATCTGGACAAGTGGTCCTCCAGCATCTAAACTTCGGTGTCACCTTGATATTCAGCTCTCGTGAAGGATATCCATTTTTTCATGAGGATTTTTTGAATTCCTAGAGTAATCCATCGACTGCATCACTGATGTGTATATTTCATTTACAATTATCACTCTTACATGTCCTTTTTGTACGTTTTGTCACCCTGATACTCAACTACCGCCTTTCTTCTCAATCAAAAACAATTTAAACCTTATCAAATTTCTAACCCTATCTTCCTTAGTGCCATTGGATATTACGTAATTTGTAACTTTTACTTTTGGAGCCACCTCTGGGTTATTATATCAATTATGTCAACCCTCCCAGTTTGGTATCATTTTAGAAAGCTCTACATTCGTGGTAAATCTTGATCCTTGAGGCTTCAATGACTCACTGAGATTCTTTATCGATTGAACTTTTCTAACACAACTTGTCGATTGAGGATTTGAGTGGCCTTCTTTTGAGTATTCAGTGTCATTCTACAAAATATTTACTGTT